CTCTCTCTCTCTCTCTCTCTCTCTCTCTCTCTCTCTCTCTCTCTCTCTCTCTCTCCTGGTCTACATGGATGATGTACTCAAGATAAACGAGCCACCTTTGCAGCAGGCGACAGAGACTTGGTAACTGCGCCTCCAGAGGTGTGCACATCGCCCATCCCGCCCTGGAAAGATTTTCCAGGAGGAGAAGCGCCCGCACTGGGGCCACTAGCTCCTCCGCCGCCTCCTCCTAGAGATGGAACCAAGGAGGGAGTAACCCCAGCTGCGCCCCCACCGCCCCCCCCGGTAGCGCCCAAGGAACCCAGAACTTTGGCTCCCGCGGTTCCATCATGGTGCGTGTGCATGCTCTGTGACTTTCTCACAAGCGACAGCCGGTGTTTGTGCGCCTCACTGACAGGTGCCCGACGATAAGGTCGGTATTCCTCCCCAGCAAACCCAGGAATAACAATGTGCCAGTTTCGCTCCAAGTGAAGGAGAATGTCCTTTGCCTCTAGCATTGTCGACTTTCGATGGCGTGCTAAAGCGCATGCAAACGTTGTTGTCGTCTCAATGAAGTCATCTGCAATCTCAAGGAGGACATCCTCCACATCCGGGTCCAACCTCTCACGAGGGTCAATCTGTGCAAGCAGTTCTTGGATGCTCCTCTTGCCTAGGATCTCTGCCTGGCTTGCATCGTCGCGCTGGGGAGTTCCCAGAACACCCTGACCTCCAGCTTGTATTCCGCCACGCAGCCCAGCACCGCCTACACCACCTTGAGAACCGCCTCGTGGATTTTTCTGGTGCGAAGCATGAGATGGGTGGGCCACTGGCAACAAATGTTGTGGGTGCTGCTTGTGTTGTTGGTGAGATCCTCCTCCTCCTGACATAAATCTCGACAATGACATTGGCAGGACAGGTCTCGCTTGTTGAGATACTGAGACATTGAGGCCCTTTCCCTGCTGCTGACTCACTCCATGTTGAGGTTGGCGTTGGCCTGCCGCTGCCTCACCTTGTTGTTGATCCCTCATGCTTTCTGATAGTCCTTGGAAACCATCGGCAGGATAAGAAGATATTGCGCGAGGTGTACCTTGGGCCTGAGGATGCATATCAGGCTTCGGGACTTCTCCTGCCTTTTCTACCTGTGGCTGCTCGGACGGTTTGTCCTGTCCCTGACTTGGAAAACCATGCACTTTCAGACCTGCTGTCAGCTGCTGATCAGCCTTCCCTACGGCTTGTTGTTGCGGCTGTTGCTGTTCGACTTGAAATAGCTTTTTCGACAGCCCTAATCCAGCCTGCTGCTGCTTGACACTGCGCTGTTGCAGCAGCTGCTGCTGTGTTTGCACACTTGCTGTGTCCTGCCGGTGGGTTGCAAGACCCACTGAGAGCTGCTGATTACCAAGTGCTGCTGTTGTCAGCTGTGGCTGAGGTTGAACGGATCCGGTTCCACCCGGTCGATGCCCTGGGAATGGTTGCATCGGTGCGTTTTCACCAGTCGTTGCTTCGTCCGGAATCTGGCTTGGTGTCCCCTGTCGCCGCAGCTGACTAAGCATGGGTTGTTGATGGAAGGATAACTGCGTAGACTTCTGTTGCAGACTGGCTGCTGAAGTGGCTGCTGCCGCTGTGGAGGCGTTGCCCGTAGTCTGTGCCTGCTGATCGACCTGCTGCTGTTTTGCTACAGCAGGCCCTTGTACCTGACCTGTCTTCAGACCTTGCATCTGTGGCATAGTGGAGACCCCCGCTGATGGACCACCTGAGACTGAAGCAGCGGCTTGTACACCATGCACGTATGCAGGACGTGATCCATCGATTCCATCCTGCTTCAGGTGCTCGCTGAGATCCTTCACCGGGTGTTGCGCTGCAGCCAATTCCGGACAGGGCTTGATTTGCGCCTGCAGTGAAGGAGGAACAGGCTGCTGTGATGCCAGAGGCTGCGGCTGCTGCCCAGGCAAGTGAGCAGCTGTATGCTGAGAAAGAGGAGACAGCTGATGGGACGGCACAACTTTGAGGCACTGATCTTGTACTTTTGTGGCATCCGTGGGTTGTTGATCTGGCTGCTCTTGACTTGACTGCTGTCGACCTAAAGGAGCCGATTGCTGCTGCTGGGGGGGTATATACAGGGTTGGAACTGTGCTGCTAGATGTTAAAGGTCTCAGAGTTGAGGCCTTCATTACAGGCTTGGTCTCCACACCTGAGAGTGGGACAGAGGCGGCAGCAGCCATCCCTACCGGAGCACCAGTCGGAGCACCAGTCACCCATGCAGAAGTATTGAAGGATTGCTGTACCGTTGAGCTGGCCCCTGTGGACATCATCAAGGGCGCTGAGACAGGCCTCCATGAACTGGATTCCGAGTGACCCTCTCCTTTGGGCATTGGGTCCATAAGTGATCCCTCATGACGATTGGGATCAGGCATTCTGCTCTGACCTTGGTCAGATGTGAGAGGAAGAGAACCTGCGGCAGATGAGCTACTGCCTGGCATCGGTGATCGGTTCAGGGTTACTAGCCCTGAAGTTGTTGCCGGAACTCCTTGCAAATAACCAGCCTGCATCAATGCCGTCCCTGAGCTGCCTGGGGCACTTGCTCCTCGAGACGATTGCCCTTCCAAGAGAGAAGAAAGCGCTGGCGGCTTCGTCAACGAGCTTGGCGGCACCATTGCTGATGCCATAGAAGAGACAACCGATGAGCCAGCAGTTGACGGTGAAGCTGCACTAAGCATCCTCGAGGGCTGAGATTGGGATTGCTCAGGGAAACCTCTTGGGTCACACTGGTGCTTCTGCTGCAGCTGTAACTGGGGAACATACCCAACAGGAGGAGCAGGAGGTGGGAGGGAAGGAGAGTGAGCTGAAGAAAGCTGAGGGTGAAGAGAAAGAGAAGGCAGGGAGGCAGACACAGGTTGACTCTTGTCTTCCAAGGAGTGTGGCTGGGAAACCACCAATTCAACCCTCCTAGCCCCATGGCCAAGCTGCTGCTGCTGCTGCTGTTCCCAATCCTGGTCTGCCTGCATCTCCTCGTTCAGCGTATGCATGGTGGCGTCGAGGGTCCCAGTGGACCCTTGAGTATGCACTGGTGTTTCTGACGCTTGAACCCTTGACTGCAGCGTATTCTGCCACACAGCCTGCGCGCTCTCTCTGCCCCCATCCAGGATGCCTTGCTCTGGGGCAACCGGATCATCTGGACCCTGTAAATTCCTATTCGATTGCTTTCCCTGACCTGTGGAATCTGACACTTGATTGCTCAGGGGTTGACGATGCTCCTTATCCGTCAGCAGCTGGCCCCCTTCACGCAGCTGTGATGCATGGGCTTCTTCCGCATGCGGCTGAGAAACATCCATCAGCACTACCTCGCTTCCATGCTCGTCTCCATCGTGGTTACTCATCGCTTCCCCACACGATGCCATGTCGCACCCCAAGAGCGTACAGATGAAATTCCTCGCTCCTTACCACAAGAGCCTACTTCATACTTAGATTTACGTCCTCCATGCCACCCTTGCATTACGAGACCTCCTCAGGTAAGAACATTATTATCCTACAGAAAAAAAGTGTGAAGAAGGGAAGTGCAATGATTGATGAAGGGCAAGCATGGGTCACACACAGATTCCAGCATTTTGTGAGATGAATAACACAAAACAACCGCATAGGCCCAAAGAGTTTCAGAACCACAGAAAACACGTGCAACAAACATCTTCCTTCGCCCAACTGAATACAAAACACCAAAAGTCAGTCCAGGTAGCAAGCAGGTGCAGCCTTTGACACAGCATGCAAATAGCCAGAAACATATCTCAAAAGTGGCCTCTCAGGATCCCCAGAGGACATCCCACCCCTTAGTAAATATCCAGAATATAGACACCAAGATCAGGACCCTTTCTCTGCCAGTGCGACAGGTGCAAAGCAAACAGCAAGGGTAACAAAGGTAGTGTACACAGCATGGGCCATCCTGGGGTTATTACTTTTGATTTGCTACAAGCAGCTGACTTCACGGACAAATGGTTGTACAAGAAGCAGCCTTCCCAGACAAACGGTTGCAAGGCTCCTATGCCCAGTTCTTGCCAATCAATGAACATCAGGGAGCACACACGACCCGGCATAACACAGCCCATCAGACTAGGCGTCTCTATGTACGCTATGTACGAGCCGGAAAACAGCTTTTTTTTTTTTTTGGGGGGGGGGGGGGGTGAGGTTGCGCACAGCAAAAGCTTCCCCAAACACGACACACCCTCATTTTGGCTGCACCAGACCGAAAAGATAGCTTGCATACATTTGTGATCAGGGTACCTTGTGTTCCTGACAAGATAATGAATGCATACAAGCTATCTTTCCGGTCTGGTCACTCTGGTGCATCCAAAATGAGGACGTATCGTGTTCCTGGTAGCGCCCTCTCTCTCTCTCTCTCTCTCTCTCTCTCTCTCTCTCTCTCTCTCTCTCTCTCTCTCTCTCTCTCTCTCGTTCTCTCTCTCTCTCTCATTTTGGCTGTACCAAACTGGAAAGATAGCCTGTATACATTCGTTATCAGGGTGCATTATGTTAGTGGAAACATCTGCGAGGCCACTGCCTCTAAGAGCCCCATAAGGCCCCCATTTCGCCCGTCGGCCGCCCTAAGTGAAGGCAGGCTCGACGAGGCCCTCAGGGCCTTTTTCTGGCCACCACGCAACTCAGGGAAATTCAGGCAGCTGCGCAGCGCCAGTTGGTTGACTGAACCCAGGCCCTGGGCCGCCTGTGTGAATGTACGTGAAGCAGGCCCTGGGCTGGATACGGGTACCCGGCCAAACACAGGCCGAAAGCAGTTGGGCACATGCAACCACTTCAGGCCCAAGGCCTGCTTTCCTCGTGACTGGGCCTCAGGCTACCGGGGCCTACTGGAAGCTTCCTGGACTGGACGCAGGCAGGCCACTTCGATATAGGGAAGGGCCTGCCTCCTCATTCGGCATTGGGGTGCTGGCTACATGCTGCGCAAGCGCTGCTACTGCGCTATTTGCTGGCTGGCGCCTACGCTCTCACGGGCGAGCAGGGAAGGAGCAGGCAGCCATAGCCATATGAGTGTAGCCTCAGGTTGTGAGTGTAGCGCGAGACATACCTGGTGCTGGAAGCGTGCAACATTGGTCGCCATATGCTCGTATTTCGGGAATGCTGTTGATGTCATCTTTCGGCTTCGTAGTATAGGCTAGATAGGATCTGCCACATGTAGTCTGGGCGCCGGGCGCCAGATAGGATATCAACTCTGGTTCTTCGTTGATGATGATTGGACTATTTCAGCATTGTCAATTATGAACTCTTGGTGTGTTCTTATTTGGTGATTCTCGTGATGCAATGCTGCTGTTGGTTCGAGGTCAAGACTATCTGGACTCATGTATGATGCTGTTTGATTGCTGAAGTTCACTATTGCTCATCTTCCTTGCACATCGGTCTGGTACATCCAAAATGAGAGTGTGCCCTCTCTCTCTCTCTCTCTCTCTCTCTCTCTCTCTCTCTCTCTCTCTCTCTCTCATTTTGGCTGCACCAGGGCGGGAAGATAGCTTGTACACATTCGTTATCAGCGTGTGTTGTCTTCGTGGAAACATAACGCATTGTGTTCGTGGAAACATAACGCATTGTGTTCGTGGAAACATAACGCATTGTGTTCGTGAAAACATAACGAATGTACACAAGCTCTCTCTCTCTCATTGTCGCTGCACCAGGCCGGGAAGATAGCTTGTAGACATTCATTATCAGGGTGCATTGAAAATTTCTGGTCTGGTGCATCCAAAATGAGGGTGTGCAGTGCTCCTGAACGCGCCCTCTCTCTCTCTCTCTCTCTCTCTCTCTCTCTCTCTCTCTCTCTCTCTCTCTCTCTCTCTCTCTCTC